TTAATCACGTGGATAGCTTATATGATCATCAGATATTGTTTCTTTAAGGGTTAGCTCTTGTCACTGTGTCTCAAAAGTCTATTATTGCTTATAGATACCAGATAGGCAAGCAGCATATATTCCTTTTATTCTTCTGAGTTCCATTTGGACACATAGAAAATAGAGAAAACATCTTATTGCATGAATGGGAAAAGGATTTAGCACTAATAAAGTTACTGTTAGGATGGATGAAACTTAAGGGAGATTCCTGTCTTTTTTTTTAACAACACAAATGAGTAATCAGCTGAGGTTATACTCTACTACCCTACAATGCTTTAGAAGCAAGTTTCTTTAGCTTTATACTTATATATATATATATATATATCCATCGTCGTTGGCTTGTCATATATGTAATCACCTTCTCTGTTCTTGAAAGTATTTTGGCAGTTAAGAATTTGTAGCATTTGCCATGAAGAACAAAAGCAGAAGCAACAACTCCCTCTGTGAGAAGTCAATGAAGATGGTAACAAATGTCATCCGGCTATCGTCATTCTCTATTGCCAGGATGAGCCTTGGAATCGCAACAGAACCAGCACCAGGCGGTAAAATTCCTGCATCATACCCTGCAACATTCATCAAAGGCTCACCAACAGCACAATTCCCTGAGAGCTTAAGGTCACAGGAGCCAGTGAACGTCAAAAAACCGACTGCCTACCTTATTGAGCCAACTGAAAATGGTAAATCCTCCTTGTATGCAGTTAATGATAAGAGTGTAGATGGTAGGGCCTCTGATTACATTAGAAGAGTGCATGAGAAGAATCGTCATGATTCAAACGAGGCAATGAAACTTTCTGCATTCATCATTCCACCTCCACCTCGTTTCGTGTAGTCATATTTTGTACTACTAACCATGTGTTTATTTCCATCTTCTACTATTTCGCGTAGCATAATTGTCTTCATCTATCTTGGATAATATGCTTTGCTTCTCTTGAGAACAAGCTTATGATTAGTGCCATAGTGATGAAAAATCTTCTCCTTCTGTCACTTTGGGCTTTGTCTACTGAAGGCTTTTGTTCATAAGAAGCTTGCATCTTGATATTGATCTTCTGTCTGTCATATAATCAATTAAATCAAATTAGTTGGAGTTTGTTATATGAATCATATCCATTTTATTCAAGCATATCTCATTCTGATATTAAACAAGTTGTCTTTTAGGTGAATTAAGGTTTCTCCAAAACTATAAATTTCTATTTTCCTGCACTTATTTTGTTATTTACATACTATAAGTTTCTACATGGAATATTAAGACTCCAAAAAGTTGGTTTTGCTTATATAGATCCTACTGTGTTATGTTTTTAGCTATGTTATTCTTGCACTTATGACATGGAGGTCTATGTAGAATATGACCAAACCAGGATATAACAGTGTAGTATCAATTAAGATGGGGTCGGTTCTTGATTAACATCCTTTAGACTCTATCGTATGTGACCTTATCTTAGTTTTCCTCTATGTGTGCTATTTGCAACGCCTGTCATATATAACCAATATCTTTAATATTACGCGTTCATCTTCAACTTGTTGGGACTTAAAGACCTATTTCCAAAAATGTTTTTGCTCTCTTAACAATCACTTTTTTAGGTATCTTTCTAACGTATAACTTAGATATTTGTATTGTATGCAGTTCACCAAAATCCTGTAAATTCTTGTGGGATGATGTGTTCTTACTTTTATTTAGTCGGTAACTATTCCTTCGTATTTAATCCGAGATGGAAAATAATATTATCTTTTATAAAAAGCACATTACCCAAGTAAATAAAAGTTTCCTTAGAGGGAATAAATGCATATATGTGGTCAAGTGGCAAGAGAATATTGTTGAAGAAAAAATGGGAATATCTTTCTTTCACTCTACAAATCCTCACCTTATCTGTTGGTCTCAAATAGAGAACCTTATTTATTGCGTGTAAACGTGACGATCTGTAATTCACCCTTGCCAATATTTAAATGCATTTCCATAACAAAGCATTTTTTTTTAATAATGATGGTATCCGAGTTAACTTGTACTCATGACATATGATTTTTCTATTAGTGTAAATATTGAATAACTATATGCTTCAAATTTTAAATAAATAAAAATCAATCACCTGATTTTATTTTTTTTATTTTTTAGTTTTGTGTGTAATTTGAATTTCTGATCTAATATGATCACCATTTCCAGCTTCATTGACCACAAATGCACAAAGAAAACACATATTTGAGTGCGGGGACCAATAATACTGGAACCACTACTCAAAAGATTTATTTGTTTGCTTGTTTATTTATCGTTACCAAAATATTTCAACTTTGACCTATTTTTATTTTTATTTTCATTATCAACGATCAATAATTGATGACACTCATAAGCAGCATTGCCAACTTAATAGTACTGGTGTTTCAACTCATTTGACAATAAGTACAAAAAAGGTTCTATCGTGTCTACTCTTCTTTTAGGAGTGTATTCGATCAATTATTTTAGAAAAATGTATATCAAATTGGTTTTTAAATTACTCTATCATGTCTAATCAAAATTAATCCCTCCGTTTAAAAAAGAATGACCTCTTTTCTTTTTTGGTAACATTTTAATTTCAGTTTTTCACCTGGCATGTTTAAGGCTATACATAAAAAGGGCAATTTTATACATTTGACATAATTTTAATTTAGGACCACAAGATTCAGAAATCTTCTTTACTTTCTTAAACTCCATGTCAAATCAAACTGGACCATTCTTTTTAAAACGGATGGAGTAATTTTTTTTGAAAACGTGTCAATCTATAATATCGTTAAAAATTATGTAATGACCTGTCCCATAAGGATCGATTTCCATCCCCGTTTTAGGCAAAACTATTGGCAGCCCTAGAATACAGTAGGAATCAAGAAAATCATATAATTGTTGCCTAACACATGCACGACACTCTAACCCAATCAGGATTTTGGATAACGTTATCACATGGCCAGTTCATACAACCACATACATATATCTATAGCCTATAGGACCACGAACATACATATATCTATAGCCTATAGGACCACGAGAAAAAATCATTTTGGCCAGAAAATTTTGAGCATATTTACACTATAAACAGGTTTACTTTTTGATATTTTTATTCTTATTTAAATTTAAATTTAAATTTATTAATTATTTTTTAATACATGAAAAGTTTCCCAATACATGGGGAATAAACTTGTTCCCGGATTCTCATAATTTCCATAAATACATGTTAATTTCAATTTCTTTTAAAAAGGCAACAAAATGATTGCCTTAGTAATTTCTTTTCTTCCCTCTACTTTCCAATATAAATTATAAAGAACACAAATTTAAAATTTACAATTAAGAAATAAAATTTAAAATTTAAATGGCAAGATAAACACTAATAATATTAAATTTAAAATAAATTTATCTCACACTCAATTCAAATTCAAGATTCATAAAATAACTTAACAAGTAAAATTATTAATCAAAAGTGTCATATATACTGGCCATTTATATACTACTACTACTACTACTAATAATAATAATAAATTATATTTCTCAACTTTGTGATTTAGAGATAATATATTTTTTGTTAAAAGAAAGTGGCTCACATCTATTTCAATTGTTACATATATATTACCAAAAAAAAAAAATTATTACATATATAACTTTGATATAGCTAAAATCTTTTTTAGCTGACGGAAGTGAAAAAATTGATTCAAAATTATTTCTGATAAAATAAAAATTACACAAGGTATGTTTGACCCTTCTCGCAATATTTTGAGGTATGTTTGAAGAGCTAAGATCATTTTTGGCTGACGGGAGTGAAAAACTTATTAAATTTTTTTAACAAAATAAAAATACAAAAGGTATATTTGACCCTTCTCGCAATATTTCGAGGTATATTTGATCATCTTCGTACATGAATTTTTATCCTTTTTTTTTATCTTCTTTAATTCAATGACTAATTTTGATTTACTATGTTGATGATCAAATTTAATTTTTCACTCATCTTATTGCAAAGTCTATTATAGATGCATCAACATTTTTTACAACTAAAAAATAAAATTCAATATAACCGCAAAAAAATTAATTTTAGTTTGCTTTTTTTAAAAAAAAAATCATTTTATTTTCGTTCACTATTTCTTTTTATTTCTCATGTTTTCCACACTAAAGAATGAAAGCGAAAAATTAAATAGGAACAACAAACTCAAATAATGATAAACAAATATATTCATGAGGGAGATAATTAAGACACAAATTAACCGTTGAATTAAAAAAACTCAAAAATAAAATCACGTGAAAAAACTATCCGATTTACCTCTATATGAATAATGTTTGATTAAATAACTAAAATAAATAAATTAAAAATCCAAATTTTAACTTTCGTTAGTCAAAAGTGGATATATGAGTTATTTAATTTGCACATGTAACAGTAAAAGTATATGTGACATTTTTTTTTACGAAATATATATTATATCTATATCACAGAATTAAGAAGTACATCAAATCTTTTTCTCCTAATAATAATTCAACATAATCTGCACAATATTATTATTATGAAGATCAAACAAACAATGTGGTATAGTAATGAAGTCTAAAAAATAGTTTGAACCTTATTTGATTATTCTATATCAATGTTAGTATTATATTAAAAAGAGAGTAGTCAATCTTGATATTAAGACAATTATATTATAAGAACTGACTTTCGTAATTCAAGACATCACTACAAAAAATGCATTATTATTAATAGTTATTTAAAATATCTAAGTCCCAAAATTATATTATTATTTTTCTGAAAGAAAAACACACACGATGTATGAACGATTAATTAATTAATGAAGAACCGTATTAATCATTATCATTCAATTGTAAATTTCAAAATCCACATTTAATTTACTAAAGTATATTGTATATTGCTGAGAATTTCCGAGAATAACGTGTTAATGTTAATTATAGTATTGAACCAACACCATATTACGTCAATTTGATAACTTATAGATCATTACTCATATTTGTTATTAATATATTAATATAACGTATTAAAGATATCTATATTCATTGTGATTTTCAATGGAAAACTACTTTCCCTTTACTTAATGATACTAGCAGGGGTTTTGTTTGATGTTATAAATAAGAGTAGCATTAAATAGGTACCACAAAGCATGACATATTTCTGGTCTGTACAAATCAGGACCAAAAGTGTAGTCAATTAATCACCACATGGATATCATAAACTTTTCCTCAATATATAAGATTAATATAATTATGAACCCAGCTTACTCACTCTTGTCCTAGTTTTTTCTTCTTCTTTTTTTCTCAAGAGATCCTTTGATCTCATGCCACACGGATGATGCTTTCTCCATTACTGAAACTTGACATCACGTTATATGCCGAGTGTCTAGTAGATGATGCTTGTCCCTGATCAAGTGACAATGATAATCTCAGTGACAAAGACGATGGCTCAATTGTTGAGTTGTGGTTGGCGTTAAGGTCAATTGCTGTTGATGGATTAGGCATTGAAAACATAGGAACAGGACCAACTAGCATCGGTGAATTCCCATGATCATGTCGCAACAGAGTTGGATACTCTCTTGACTTGTCAATCTGTACTGGAAATATGATAGGACCAACAGTTGGTGCCACCGGAAATGCATTGGTTTTGGTAGTTGGTAATGTTGCTGGTGCTACAACTGGGATTTCTTGCTTATTTTCCACCTCTTCTATTGGCATTACTGATACCTGTTTGTCAAAGAAAGAGAACCTTAGAAATGGATATCCATCCAAGTGGCAAAGATTTCAGTTTGTATTCAATATTTTTATCTTTTCCACAAGGCAAGTATAAACAAAGAACTTGACACCAATGAAAAAGAATCTTTTAGAGAAAAGACACAAAAGAATAACAACAAAACCCAGCACCAATATCAATTCAAAACAAGAAAAACGAACGAATCAAATTACAACTCCTTCTGTTAAAGAGTGATAAGATCGAAGTACTAAAATCAAGCCATCTAATTTTCTATCTCTATACACAATCACTTACCACCTACTCAAATGAACTTCACTAATACATGGCAAAATGAGAGAAAATATAATCATAGTAATTAAAAGTTGCTCGAGTAATAATAAGGGTGAGAAACAAGTTTGATAAATGGAAGACGTGAAGAAAAAATAAATACCGAGTCAGTGGTGATATCAAAGAGGCTAGATCGACGGCGGCGACGGTTGAGGTTGCTTCGCCGGAGGAAGTATTTCTGAGCATGACTTGCAACCTGAGTCGGTGTGCGAGTCTTTACGAAGTTACGAGAGATTCCTCTCCAGTCTCCTTTTCCCACTTTCTGCAATCCTAAAAGGAATAACTTATGCTCTTCCTCTGTCCACGGAACTCCTAATACAAACAAAATCAACGCTACTTCATCAGAAATCAATTTCTATGGATTCAAAGCTTAGCAGGTTGGATCAAAACCATATTTATGGTCCTGAAATCTAGACAGAGGGAAAACGAGTTCCCTTTTACAGAATCTAATCTTTTTTTAGGAATTCGATCATCATTTATGAAACTAATTTCAAACAATTACATATAAATCACATGATTAAACTATGAATTTGACTCTGTACAAAACAAATTAGGATAGAAGAGTATAACTCAAAAATTTGTGCATAACAGAGAAAACGATCGATGAATCTAATAGAAACTTGACTCAGAGGAGACATTAATTGACTAATCACTGACAGAAATAACCGAATCGAATGTAAAATGAAGACTATCATAAAAACACGGCGAATAGCAACAAAAATAGAAGAGGATCGGAGATCTCACCTCTCTTACGCTCGCGACCACTGTTGGACTGATGTTGAACAGCGTCATCTGCAGAGGCATAACCTTCATCCTGAGCCACTTTAGAGGATTCATTGTTATCACCGCCGTTGTTGTTGTTGTTAGCATTCGGTTGCTCGTACTGTGAAAGATCGTTTAGACTCACGCTCTTCCTCATAGGATCCACTTTTACTCTCACACCAAACAACATGATTTCTCCTCCAAAACCGCCGCCGGTAACTGCCGGCGTCGACGACGACTTATCGCTGTAAACGCTCGACATCGTTCTGGAAGTTTCCACGAATCAATAAAAAATCAATTGATACAAAGTGGTGATGACTAAACATACACTCCGTCAAACGGAAACCGTACACACCTATTGAAATTGAAATTGAAAGGAAGAAAGAAGCGAATAAAGCGGAACGGAGAGTGTATAGAGATGTGGAAATATATAGAGGGGGTGAGATGGTGATAAGGACCACATGATGATAATAATAATAATAATTAAAAAATAATAATATTTGTATCGTATTGTATCCTACTCTATTGTCTCAATGAAAATATTATTTAGATAGATTATATCGTCATGTGATAAACCTATCAAAAAAGTAAGATATGAGTAGAGCTACTGTGAAAAAGTAGAATAAAAGATGAAATATGATTATTAAATAATATATAAATACAAAAATGAAAAAATAAATATTAAGATAACGATGTTAAGTAACAACCAAAACAAATAAAGTATTGTATTTAAACTAACGACACAATATAATGTAGAAAAATGACGAATATATCCCGAACTATCGTAAATGGTATGCATATATCCTCCGTCATAATTTTGGGATATTGATGCCCCTGCCATCCAAAAAATAGAGTGTATATGTCCTTCACTCTAACGGAAGACTAAATAGGGACACATGGCGCAATCTTATCCGTCGATCCAATATTTAATAAATGTTGATTGATAGATAAGATTATGACACGTGTATGTCCGTTAGTATAAAGGGTATATATGATCTAGTTTTTGGACGACATGGATACCAATGTCCCAAAAATATGATGAATGATATCTGCATACCATTTACGATAATTCGGGATATATTTATCATATTTCCCTATATAATGTAATACAACGGATAACATTCTCCCCCATTAATAAGTATTGAAAGTTGAGAGTAACACGTGGCAATAATTTAACGGTTTATCCGAATCTTCGGTGGAGCTGAGTCTGATTTTTACGGGAAGTTTCAACCAACTCATATAGAATAGAGGGGCATACCATTTTTTATGTGGATGGGCCTATCCACTTACTCAATTTCCATTTATTTTTTTTTATATTCAATGTTGATATTAGGGGTGTACAAACCGAACCATAAAGTCAAACCGAACCGATGAACCAAGTCAAACCGAGAAAAAAAACCGACTTATGGTTTGGTTTGATTGGTTTGGCGTTGAAAAAAAAAAACCGACCATTCTTGGTTTGGTTTGGTATTAATAAAAAAAAAGTCAAACCGAATCCAACCCAAACCGACATAATACATATATAATTTTAACTTTTTATACATAAAAATATTTATATAATCTATTTTATAAATATTTTAAATTTAGTTTTATTAATTTTCAATATGTACAAATTAGATATATATTCAGATTTGAGCTTATAACTTGTAATTGGTGAAATGATCCATCAATTGGTGAAATGATCCAAGCCCAATATAAACCTAAAAGTTAAAACTCTAGAAACTAGTCATATTCTCATTTCTCACTATCCACTTTGCAATCTTTCCACTTTCCCTAGAGCTGCTCAATCTTCATCTGCTCATTCTTCTCATTCATCTGCTTGTCTATAGATAGTCAGGTATGTTTTTCTTTTTCTTTTTCTTGCAAATGTAAATTTATCAATGAAGTTCGTCACTTACTTTTTCTTGCAAATGAGTAACTTTATTTTGAATCGTTGTTGGCTGCTGCTACAAGTCTTAATTTTTTGTGTTTTGCTTCCTTAGATGGAGAATACGGCTGGAACTGATGTAGAAATGATAATCGACAGTCCTCCGGTTGTATCAATACCTCAAAAGAAAGGTAAAAGCACTCCTCATCTCCGCACTCCTCCTAAAAAGCAAAAAAGAACAACCCCAATAGATTCCATTCCTACAGATGGTAATACTGGGAGAGAAACGTCACAAATTTGGGATCACTTTGCTAAATTTATTGCTAAAGGAGGTAAACGAAGAGCAAAATGTAACTATTGTGTAAAACACTTTGCTGCTGAGACAAAAACAAATGGAACCTCTGTATTGTGGTCACATTTAAATGACAAATGTCTCAAATCTCCCTTTAGATTTGTTGATAGAAGGCAAACAACTTTGAAAGCTGTACCAATCAAAGTAGGGGGACAAGAAAATGGAACAAGTTCTATAGAAAAGGTTGTGTACAATGTGGAGGATATCAGGAGGGCCATCGCTGAATTTGTCATTATTGATGAACAACCATTTAAAGTTGTTGAAGGGGAAGGTTTTAAAAAATTGATGGCCAAAGCTTTGCCTAATTTTGAATTACCTTCACGGGTAACTGTGGCTAGACATTGTTTGAAGATCTATCAAGAAGAGAAAGAGAAGCTTAAAAAACTTGTCAAGAATCAACACATATGTATTACTAGTGATACATGGACATCACTTCAAAATTTGACTTATATGGTCGTGACTGCTCATTGGATTGATGATGAATGGAACTTACAGAAAAAGATTCTTAATTTTTTCCAAACTCCGGATCACAAGGGTGAGACTATGACACTAACATGATGGGTGAAGTTGATGATATATTGCATTCTCAATGGGAGAAACATTTAGAAGATGAGGAAAACATTGGAAAAAAATCTGAGCTTGATCAATATTTGATGGATAATGTAGAGAAGCCAAAAGATTTTAATATCTTGACTTGGTGGAAAGCTTCATCGAATAGATATCCAACTATTTCAAAAATGGCAAGGGATGTTCTTTCTATTCCCGTGTCCACTGTTGCATCTGAATCAGCCTTCAGTACAGGTGGTCGTATTCTTGATTCATATCGGAGCTCTTTATCACCAAAGACAGTAGAAGCTCTTATTTGCACTCAACAATGGATACGGTCACCTTCTAAAGAATGGAAGGTTCAAAGATTATTTGGACGAAGTTCAAAAAATTGAAGAAGTTGAAAAAGGTAATTTACTAATTTAATTCTTAATTCTCCATCTTTGATATTAATTTTCTACTTTGAAAACAACTTTATGCTAGTTGCTATCTAACAAAGTTGAGTTGACAAATGACTCAATATCTAATTACTCATTTATGTGCTAATAATTCTTTTCCTTACAGAATGTCCAGGTGCTCCTTTGAGTATCGATTAGTTTAATGAAGTAGCTTTTTGCAAATCTTTTGATATATAGGTATTTCCTTTCCCTTTATTGAAATAGCGTTTTACAGTTCTTTATTATCTAACAAAGTTAATTTTACAAGTCTAGTTACTCGTTCACGTGCTGATAATTTTCTTTCTTTCAGAATGTATGTCTAGGTGACCTTTTGAGTATATATTAGTTTGGATGAAGAAAATATGCAGCTGGATCTTGGTAGTTGAAGATTATTGGAGTAGTTTTGCAATTCTTTTGTTGGGTTTTTAAGAGAATATTTTACAAACATTATGTGAAGTTCTGTGTTTTTAATTTTCAATGTTAAATAGACTTATTTTTTATAAGATATTTGCTCTTGTTGATCATGTGAGGATCTTGATAATCAAAATTTGTAGAAATCAGATTGAAATGAAATGGTTATTGAGCAGTTGTCAGGTGGCGTTTCTCTTCGTATCTTCTTCTATCTCGATGTGTTGTCTTCTGATGTTATAAAATCCTCATTCTCTAGTTGTTTGCTTTAGTTTTCTGTTAGGTTGATGATGTCTTAGCGTGATGGGTATTGTAACACATATCTGTCAAACAAATATGTAAGCAATTCTTGTAGAATAAAGGCAATTCTTGTAGATAAGTGTAAGCAAATATGTAATCAAAGAGTTTAAGTAATTATGTAATTATGTAATCAAAGAGTTGATTACATATTTGAGTTGACCTATTTGGTGAGGAAACTGAAGAGGAAAAGAAGGCTGCTGAAGAACGTGCTGCAGCATTGAAGGCTTCAGGGAAGAAGAAAGAATCTGGTTTGACAGATGTGTGTTACAGATGAAATGATTTTGTTTGACAATATTTGCTTGGTCTGTGTTGAATTGGCCAGAAAGCAAATAGTTGTCCAAATGTAGAATAAAGGCAATTCTTGTACTAAAAACACCTCTAGCTTGTACAAAATGAAGATGGATAGATGAATATTGGCTTCTCCTATTGTAAAACCTAAACACTCTTTAAAAAAACCGATAAAACCGAAAGAACCGAATAAAACCGAAAGAACCGAATAAAACCGAAAGAACCGAATAAAACCGAAAGAACCGAATAAAACCGAAAGAACCGAATAAAACCGAAAGAACCGAATAAAACCGAAAGAACCGAATAAAACCGAAAGAACCGAATAAAACCGAAAGAACCGAATAAAACCGAAAGAACCGAATAAAACCGAAAGAACCGAATAAAACCGAAAGAACCGAATAAAACCGAAAGAACCGAATAAAACCGAAAGAACCGAATAAAACCGAAAGAACCGAATAAAACCGAAAGAACCGAATAAAACCGAAAGAACCGAATAAAACCGAAAGAACCGAATAAAACCGAAAGAACCGAATAAAACCGAAAGAACCGAATAAAACCGAAAGAACCGAATAAAACCGAAAGAACCGAATAAAACCGAAAGAACCGAATAAAACCGAAAGAACCGAATAAAACCGAAAGAACCGAATAAAACCGAAAGAACCGAATAAAACCGAAAGAACCGAATAAAACCGAAAGAACCGAATAAAACCGAAAGAACCGAATAAAACCGAAAGAACCGAATAAAACCGAAAGAACCGAATAAAACCGAAAGAACCGAATAAAACCGAAAGAACCGAATAAAACCGAAAGAACCGAATAAAACCGAAAGAACCGAATAAAACCGAAAGAACCGAATAAAACCGAAAGAACCGAATAAAACCGAAAGAACCGAATAAAACCGAAAGAACCGAATAAAACCGAAAGAACCGAATAAAACCGAAAGAACCGAATAAAACCGAAAGAACCGAATAAAACCGAAAGAACCGAATAAAACCGAAAGAACCGAATAAAACCGAAAGAACCGAATAAAACCGAAAGAACCGAATAAAACCGAAAGAACCGAATAAAACCGAAAGAACCGAATAAAACCGAAACCGAAAAAACCGATTTATATTGGTTTGATTTGGTTTATAAACTTAATAAACCGACATAATTGGTTTGGTTTTTTTTTGATAAAAAACCAAACCAACCCGACCTATGTACACCCCTAGTTGATATCTCCACTATATCTACTTTTTTTTCATCTTAAAATTATTCTTAAAAATATATACTTTTATGAACTTTGTCAAATAAGTAGAACTCGATTTACGTAAAATATTAATAATGTCATTAAATATTTATTAATAAAATTAACTAAAAAGAAAAATATGACATATAAATATGAAAAAAGAAAGTAACATTTTTAATTTCTTCTTATTGAGCTCTCACGACATAAGTGAATAATATTCTAGTGGTACTCTTTTTTTCGAAACTAATTTCACGAGATATTTATCACTTTTTACCAGTAATAAGTATCAAATAACTCTATTCACCAAAACTAAAATAGATGAGAAGAAATCAGATAGTAGTATTTTTGTTTGTACTAAAAAATTTGAACTTAGAACATCATAATTCATAGTTCCTCCTAATTTGATTGAAGTATATACTCCTTGTGTCTCATACTAGTTAATCATCTTACTAAAAATAGTTATCTCATATTAGTTGATCATCTTACTAAATCAAGAAAATATTAATTAAAATTTTCATATTATACCCTTGCAATTAAATTTTTTTGAAAGTGTATTTATATTTGTAAAATTCCCGAGAAGTTTTTTAAGGAGTGAATTAGTAAAATTATCTTCTTATTTTATGATTTCTTAATATATATGTAAAAAGGAAAAATGATCAACTAGTATGGAACGAAAGGCATACATTTTATTTCTAAAAAACTTGGAAATTTAAGTATTGTATTCAGGGGCGGAGCCAGCATACGAACCTCCTTTGGCAGAAAATATTACTATTTATACATTAAAATTTTGTTATGTATATATATCTATTAGTAGATGTCGAAATCCTCTTTGATTAGTTTATGTATTTACTTCTTCAAATTTTGAACACCCTTATTAATAATCCTAACTTCACCACTGACCGTATTAATACTGAAATCTAAGTAATTTAATTTGCATATTTAGCTAAGATAATTGAAGTGATCAAGTTTTGACTTTGTGGGCACTTGTCTTGTCGGACTTTTGTTTTGGGAAAGAGATTACTCCTAATTAACATCATTTTTTATTTGTCAGACACGTATTTGTTTGGACGCAAATTGCAATAACCAGCACGAGAAAATAATGAATTCTAAGCATAAAATTTTATTTACCGATTCAAAATTTAAATTTTTTATATAAATAAAAAAATTATACTCTAATTATTTGAAAAATATATTTAAATAATTCATCCTTTATTTGCGATTCAAAAGATTGAAGCTCACTTTAATATTGACTCTCGATAAACGAACAAGTAAAAACTATCAGAAGACATAGAAACTAATTTCATTAAGTTTTCTGATTAGTCGGTGAATGGAATTAGTTTTAAAATGGTCAAAGAAGCAAGTTAATTAAAAAGGCCCACCTACCATTACCAAGAGATAACATTATTTTTTTCTGAAGATAAAAATTGACTTTAATTAAGATAATAATAATAATAATTAGTACTAATTAATTAAACTTGGATCAATACTAACGTGATTTGGTTCCATCATGCACAAGAACCAATGTTGTACTATGAACTTAAAATAATCAAAATTATTGGCACAAGTGGATGGTAAAATTAAATAAAAAATAAAAGAATCACGTGAAAAAAGGAAATGCTTAGTGATTGATTAACTGACAAACTTGTCTAATTAAACTTATTTAATTAAGTTGAGTAGCATTAGTTAGGTACTTAATTGAAATCTTTACAACACAACTATGGATGGTTAGCTGTGTTTCTTTCTCAATTATTTGACTAGAGATAATAATGTTTATTATCTTGCTAGGGCCTCACTAATTAATTACTTATGAATTAATCTGTAATGCAAAGTACCTTTCAATCCTATATGGATACCTAATACCCGCAAACTATTGAAATTTGGATAGGAGTGAATTTATCCACCGCACATTATATCAAATGTTTTTCTTTTTCTGGCTTAGTTGGTAACTTGGTATATGAATAAATTTCGAAGATTTTACTATTAAGAGATAAAGTGAAATTGACGTGATCATTTTATTCTTAATCAGATCTGAGATAAATGCGTAGATAGCCACTTGGAATATCACTATTCAAGATATATCCAAAAATAAAATTAAAAAAATGTTATTTAGTCATTTTTTAATCAATTTCAGATTGATCGAATTAAAGTTGAAAATCTAGGTATGAAATTATATATTATGCTAAAATTCTTCTTTAAATCAAGTATGGGGTTATATATTGGCATATTATAGGTGACAATTAAATTATAGCATAATATGTTTGCTGGAAATTGACTTAGATATTAATTATCTTTACTTTGAAAAGATAGGTTATTCTTTACAATGATGAAAGATATTTGGGCATTAATCATTAATAGCTACACAACAACTTCCCCACCTAATTCAAGATTAAAAAATACTTAGATTTTTGTTACCCTAACTACAAAATTATTCGATAATTACATATCAAAGATTTGTATATATGATCTTTATGGATTTGACTACAACAATATAACTTCCAATAAAAAAATAATGTTACTTTGAATATGACAAATCGATATAAAATTGTATTCGACATATATATTATATATATACAAATAGATCTTTGATATAATCACGCAAATAGCAGAATCTTTTTTGAATGGGCTAATTTTTTTAAAAGGAAGAAGCTCAAATATATCATCGAATTTTGCTCAAAGGCTCATATATGCCATAATTAGAAGTTTGTCTCATCTACGTCATTTGAGTTAACAAATAATGATATGGATGAATATTTTCTCTAACAGATAAGAAATAGCATAGATGAATCAATTTTTTAACGAATGACATAGATAAGTCTTTTCTCAAAGTTCGATAACATTTTTGAACCTTTTCCTTTTTTTAATGGTATGCTAGATAAATACAATGCCTTTGTCAAATGCTCCATCTCTTAATTTTGTGTGTGAATAGTGATAAGTGAAGGAATCAGAATATTCATTAATGTATGTATATTCTTTTCTTTTTAATTATTTTTTTAGTTAATTGGAAACAATAAATACCTAAACAAAAGTTGATGATGGGGCTCACACTCATCTGGATAACTAGAGATAGAGGTGTCTATCTTGTCTCCATTCTTTTGAATGGACCCTACCACTTAATTATTATACAGGAAAAAATATTTTAGCTTTTGAGAAACAATTTTGATAAGATGATTATTAGGTAAGTATCTTCAAACAGAATATAAATGCTATCCACACATTTATTAAAGGGAGTTATAAAATTTAATTAGTACTCACTCCATTTTATAATACTTGATCCAAATTAATTTGAGACACTTCTTAAAAGAAATATTTTCTCCCTTTGATTTTAGTTGTTTATATTTAATTGGATGCGTTTTTTGATAAATAGTAAATAAAGTGATAATTTTATTATATTATTTATGATTGTTATGTAAGTCATATTAGTGAAAAATGAATTAGAAATAATTAGTATTTAATAATTTATCTATCTATACTACCTTAAAAGTATGAACTCTCAAACTTGAATGTTGAATTGCTATAATACCCCTAATAAAAAACACTCAATGTATTTTATTTATTAATTTAATTAATTTTACTATATTGAAAGTAGATACATTTTCAAATTAAAGGATTGTGACTTTTTCAATGAGTTGTGAGTTTTCCAAAGGGTTGTGACTTTTTTTTACAGGTTATAACTTTTTCAATGAGTTGTGATTTTTTCGAAGGGTTGTGATTTTTTCGAAGGATTGTGACTTTTCTAAAGGGTAATGCCTTTTCTGATGAGTTGTGCCTTTTTCAAAGGGTTGTTACTTTTCCGATAAGCAGTGACTTTTTCGAAAGGTTATGACTGTTTGGATAAGACACAATTAACACATATTCATACTACTATTTGGTAGCTATAAAAAGAGGGGTTTCCTCACACTTTTAAACTACAATTTTTTTAAGTTCTCTACTCTTCTTCTTCTTAAAAAATCTCAAGTGTTATTTGTAAAAATTGTGAATCATTCATCAATTCACAGTCATATTTTTTCTTACCATTTTCATGAGTTAACAATGACGAAAAGTTATGTGAGAGACAATAATATTAAACATATATGAACAAAGGCATATGATTTGGGTAAGATATTTCTTCTTTGTTTTTTTTTTTTATTATTCTTTTCCCTTAAACGATGGAGTTTCTTCCTAATTTTTCTATAACAATGGGTATCAACGTAATCCATTGAATTATTAGTTTTGATGTTAAATTCACTATTTCAAAATAGATTTTAACTTTTACTTATAATATGATAACATAGCCATGATAATAATTATTTTTAATAGATATGTACGTAAAAATGAACGGATAAAGTAAAGTGTTGGTGGCAAGAGGTTTAAATCAAATGGAACACTAGAGTAAATATAGCATGAACATATATTTTCGTCTTCCTTCTTCATTGGCTATGTATTGTTCCATATTTTTTTTATGTCACAAGATACACTCCTTACTAGCTATATAAAAATAGATAAGAAAACAGTGATTGATCATAAAATGATCATAAATCAAATTAATGATTCTATAAATAATACTTTACATTTTATTCATCTATTAATTTTTATTATTGAAAAATTTAATAAAGATAAAATATTGAAATACTTATGGTAATCCTTATTAGTGTCATGCGCATACTAAATTTCAAGTATTAATATTTAAGACAAAAATTTGTACTTAAACGGTGTACATCATTTATGTTCATATCCTCAAGAGTAAAGGCTATTTGTTACATTTTTTGAATGGATATTTTTTTTTCTATTTTGTTGGTTAGATTTGTTTACAAAATTGAGTGAAGTAAGAAATAATATTATTTAAGAAATGTCACTTTCTCCCATAGTTAAACTTTGAATGTATTTTGAAATGTTTTAATAATGTCTGGTCATTTTGATCTCAAAATACAAGTAACTCTATGACAATATGTATTAATAATTTAAAAACACTTGTCCTATGTTCGTTCAATTATAATTATTTACTAAAAATCTTTAATTTAATAATATTAATTCTATCTTACAACGTCATATACTATATATATGATACACACGTGCAACGCACGTGCCGTAAAACTAGTAAGAATAAAATATATGTAAGCTAACATTTTTTATTATTATTTAAATTGAATAAGTAAAAATGAAAATTAATTTCTAATATGAATATAGTGGATAAGTAAAAATGGATGAAGGAAGTATTTATTAGGGGTTTATTTTATTTATCCATTTTTAGTTGTTCACTACAATAAGATAGATAACCGCTTTTATTTCTTCAATTTGAAAATTAAGAGATATTTTATTATTTTTATACCTATTTTACCTTGTGTACTTTTCGTATTCCAATGCATCAGTCAAAATATTGATTTTATATATTCAAATAGTGATTTAGTAAGCTTATTATTTTATTAATTACTTTTTAAGGCATGTGCCAAATTAAACATGACCAAGTAAAAATTAAATAGAAAGTACACTTAACTAATCTTATTAATTATTTTCTCTGTTTCATATTACTTGACTCCTTTATTAAAATTAAGATGTTTCATTTTAATTTTTTCCTTATCATCCGTAGTATTAAAAAACTAGATAAAGTAATAGTAGTAAAATATAAAATTTCAAAATATCATTAGTATGGTTAATTGAGTAAAATATATCCGTATTAAAAAATCCTTAAGAAGTCATGTGCCAAATAATATGAAACAAAGGAGGTATGTTTTAAAATTTTAAATTTTACTGGTAGTAATTTAAAACTCGTTAATCCAGCTCATTATGTTTCTAAACTTCATTAAACAACCATTGTTTTCAGACATAATGCACTATAATTATGGACTACTTTACAATTATCATCATCAGTTTCAATAAATATTGCACTATATTGTGATCTCGAGGTTAACATTTTTTATTTCTTCTCGATGAAAAATGAACTTAGAGAATATAAGTCCATCCGTTTCTTTTTATATGTCATCTTTATTATAAATAATTGATCCATAATACTTGTCATTTCATAAAATTAATGCATAAATTATAATATTCTTCCTATTTTACCCTTGTGAGTTATTAGCCTTGAAAATATATATTTAACAAACATAGAAAAATTAAGTGAATAATTCATGTTCATTGGTCAAATTATCAAAATAAATTAATTTATATTTATTGATTGAAAAATTAACTTCATAAAAAGTTAAATAAAGGTAGAATAGTAAAATTACATAATTTCTTAATGCACGGCGAAATAAAAAATGGTGACATATAAATAAAAACGGATGGAGTATAACTTTATCATTTGTGTGACCGAAAATAATAAAAATAGGAAAAAGGTTCAAAAAAGTCCTTGCAGTTTGCAAAATGGTCTATTTTTGCCCTCTATTTAGAGTTTGAGTCAATTATGCCATTGTTATTACAAAACACAATTGTGAATTGACATTGTATATATTGATACTTATTTTCTACTAGTTATTTATTTAAAAAAAAATAGGGTCAATTCATTAGACAAGTCATTATGGTAAAGGCTTTTAGACCTTCAAATTTTTGGGGCCTATTTCTATCAATAGTTATTAAAAGTAAAGCAAACGTGTGTAAATTTCTTTTTCTTTAAAAATATATTGAATTAAGTTAGAAAATAATTCATAGTCTCATGTGCTTGATAAACTACATATTCTATTTTCCAAATTAAAACACCGTCAAATAATTTTAAATTTAGATATCAAAGTCTGTCGAAATAGGATTATCCTTTATCTTTGTTTTTATGTATACCTCACAAGCACACATGTTTAACACCAATATATATATGTGATTTAATTATTTTTTTTACTAATTATTGACGTAAAATGTATATGTAGTGCACACAACACATGTATAAGATGCACATGTGGGGAAAGACACTACTAAAAAATTGTCAAAAAAACAACGGCCAAAAGCGACGGACTGCGTCGCTTTTTTGGTCAAAATCGACGGAAAAGCGACGCAATCACTTCCGTCACTTTTAGCTCGACGCTTTTCAAAAAGCGACGGACTGCGTCGCTAAAAAGAGACGGACAACGTCGTTTTTAAAAAAGCGACGGACTGCGTCACTTTTAGAGACGGACTGCGTCTCTTTTAGCGACGGACTGAGTCGCTTTTTTACTTTTTTTTTTTAAAAAGCGACGGACTGCGTTGCTTTATTTTAATTTTAATTTTTTTTAATTTATAAAGGCCGACGCAGTCCGTCACTTTTCTGAAAATTTATTTTTTGAAAATCTCAGAAAAGCGATGGACTGCGTCGCTTTTAGAGACGGACTGAGTCTCTTTTAGCGACGGACTGAGTCGCTTTTTTACTCTTTTTTTTTTGAATTTTTTTAAAAAAACGACGGACTGCGTCGCTTTATTTTAATTTCTAGGGCGATGCAGTCCGTCGCTTTTTTGGAAATTTATTTTTTGAAAATCCCAGAAAAGCGACGGATAAAAGGACACTGTCCGTCGCTTTTCTGGAAATTTATTTTAAAACTTAAAAAGCGACGGACAAAACCACGCTGTCCGTCGCTTTTCTGAGTTTTAAAAAATTAAAACCCAAAAAGCGACGGACTAAACCACGCTGTCCGTCGCTTTTCTGAGTTTTAAAAAATTAAAACCCAAAAAGCGACGGACTAAACCACGCTGTCCGTCGCTTTTTCTGCAATATTTTTGATAGCAGGAGCTCGCAGCTTCTGCTGCCCACCTGCAAATGCAATTCAATTCAATTCTACACTATTCAGCCCAATCAAACACACACAATTATAAACAATCTAAACAAAACATAAAACAACAAACTTAAAATAACATTCAAAAGTATCTAAATCATAAATTAAAGACTTATAAAGTCTTTTAAAATTCGTTTTAAAATTTCAAAAAGTTCATAAATGTCCAGAGATCTAAACTAGGAAGTTAGATCTACATAATCATCCTCATCACTCTCGTCGTCGGTGTCATCGGGAGCCGAAGTACTAGGTCGACGAGCGAGGTTCATCACTTGTTCTTTGATTTGCTGAACGGTCTCACTCAGGCTTTGTTGTTCAGCTACTCTTTTCCGCTCCGACTCTGCTAGTGCCGCTGTAAGTTTAGCTATTTGATCCGACATAGCAGCAATCTGAACACCGTCAAGTGCCTCAGCTTGACGTGACGATCCAATACCTTCTAAGCCTGACTGAAGGCGTCTAACATCGTTGCGAGAGCCTAGACCATAGCATCTACCCTTGTGTGTCCCCCCTACCACTTTTTCTTTCCAAATCTGAGTGGACAGTTCAGGTGTCAATTGAACCAAACTATCTAGATTCTCATCGACGAACTTATGAAAGTCATTCTGCATATTAAATATAAATATTGACATCAATATATATACATATCATAAATATATTCACTATTGATATATATTATTCATATTA